ATATATAAATGCTTAAAAATTTGATTTTAAAATGAAATAAGTACCATCTATATCTCTATTCACAAATAGTTGATTACCTTTTTTACAGTTGTCCGACTTCCTGAGACATAGGATGCAAACAGCTATCCTGATTGGACTGTCCCACCTCAATCCTATGCCAACCTCAGCATGGAACTTCCTGGTTCTTCTCTACATACCACTCAGGACGAGAGTTCTTGGCACTAATCTGTGCTGGAAAACCTGGGGTAGTTGGCATTCTGAACTTCAGTAGAGAACCTGGTTTATATAGTTGTCGGATTAGGACAAAAATTGGTGTACGTGAAGAAAAAGGTTTAAAATTGCAAAACAATTAATTATTTTATTCCAGAGTTTGTCACAAATTGAGAGTCAATATGTCATTAGACTCCACTGGCCTGGATGCAGGTTGCCACCCGGTTTGTCATAGACTGATGAAGATTCTGGATTCGGGGCATTCTGGTTGCAGGATTTCTTGCTAAATTTTCTCCAACTGCCAGACTAAATAGTCAACATTCTGGGATGGTTGCAATGGCCTTCCTGTCATGTCCCAGATGTGCTCTATGGTTGAGAGATCAGGCCATAGAATGTCATCTACATACAGTTATGCTGTTAAGTGTGCCAAGAATGAATACCAATAAGGTCCTGCTATCAAATGTAATTTCACTCCAGACCATAACGCTCAGTTGTGTTGTTCAAAAGTAAGGCCAGGAACTACATGTTGCACAGGATGTCTCCAGACACATTTGCAAGGGTTGTCAGAACACAGTAAGAAATGGGACTGGTTGCTAAAGACTATATGTCCCCAGTCAATGCAGTTCTAGGTTGATTGCTCTCGACACTACTGTATTGAACTTGTCTGTGTTCAGATGTGAGGGGTACACATTGCAATGGTCAGCAAGCTCTTATATTCTGATAAGTTGTCTGTTGATGGTAATTTTGGAGACTTGGGTGCCTGTCAGATATTGGATAGTATATAATATTGAATCTCTGCTGCTGAGACAGCCGTTCTGACAATCGCTCTGTTGTGTCCCTTGGTAGATCACAGCTGTTACATCCTTCCTTTGTTGACCCACTCTTGTCATCTAATAGCCACAACACTTCTACACAGATATTGAATGATCAGTTGATTAGATCAACCTCTTTCAATCCAATGGCACAACCTCTTTCAAACTCAGACATATGTTTGTAATGAGCATGAATCTCTTTCCGAGGCATTGATACAGTAGAGAATTAGACTGACTGCAAAAAAAAAAAAAAATTATTACCTAAATTTTGAAATTCAGCTCGTACAACACTCAATACAGTCTAGAATACTTATGCTGAATGTGCAGTCCAGATGAGCTGGAGCTCTTGCTTTGCATAAATCGGCCAACAAATTTCAATCATTTGTATGTTTGGTCAAAATGTCTTTGTATCCATATAAATTGGATAATCCTTCTTGGTGCATCAATTTTTGTTAGTGTAATTCTTACTCTCTTTTTAAAAAACAAATTCAAAATTTTCTTTCATATTTGAAATTAACTTTTACTGACCTGACTGTAATGGTCAAAATCTGTATTTTAAAGAAATATTCTTATTTTACTATATTTTGGTGAAGCAACAACAGGAGATGTGGTGGGGAATACCATGGACTGAGCTAGCCATGTCCAGCTGTAGTGTTGGAGGGAAGGAAGACTTATTGACAATTTGGTGAGAGAAGCCCCTACAATACCATCAATAGACTTGAGTGGATGGGCTGAGAAATATAGTTTTAAGAGAGTCGAGACAGACTTTTAACAAAAAAAAAAATTGAACATGTAAGAGCAAAAATGTAATAGTTGAATAATAGAAAGTAAAAATTAAGAGCAGCTAAGTTTTTTAGAATCCAATAAAACTAGCTTGTAGTCTAATAGATGTAATGGAGAGAAGAAACAACACACACAACCATCATATATATATGTATAACCACAATATAATAAAATTATAAATTCTTTATTAAATAGTTCTTTCTTAATAATAATAATAATAATTAAAAAAATTACAAAAAAGAGGAGATCACAGGTTGAAGGGGCAGAGTTGGATGAAGTGGAGGACATCACGGTCTTTGTCCCCGCGCAGGTGGGTCAGGCAGCTGGTGAGCAATGCCGTGTTGTGGCGTTTGATGGCCTGGAGGTAGGAGGCTGTGATATTGCGTGACAGGACCCGCGCAACTGCTAGCCTTACATTGGCCACTGGATCCCAAGCTAGCCGTAACAGCAAGGGAGCAACCTGGCTGGCAAATCTTTCTATGGGGAGGGCTCTCTCCTCTACAAATTCCTCACATAGGAACACATACCTGCAGCAACACGTATCACCAACTTTACTTGGATGGACAAATGGTACATTTAAATTTTTAAAATATTTATTTTTTTATCATCTTGTAGCGTCAACTTCCTTATACAACACTTTACCTCTCAGCTGGAGTTGTTGTTGTTTCTTATCCCCTTGTGTAAAGATTACACGAATTCCATGAGTTCATGCTTCTCGAGCTGTTTTATGATAAGCAGCGGCCTCTCCCAAAGGTCCTGTTTAGTACATCTAATGCAAGCCAAAATGTGTTCTGGAGCTGCAGGTGCCAAGCTACATTTTGGGCAAGTGGGGTAAATTTTTAAATTATTTTCTATCTTCAATGGCTTGAGATGGCCTGTTCTAAATCTTGTTAGTGTTGTGGCTCGAGGAGTTTTGAATGGAATTTGTGTACAATATATAATAAATGAAACAAAATATATGATTTTAATATGAAATTATATTGTGCTAGATTATATATGGAGCGATCAGCAAATAAACCTGATGAAAAAATATATATTTCTCTCCCAAGTATATGAGGAAGGACACATTAGGTCTTTGTGGTTAGGTGTTCCCCTAACTGCAGCAACACTTGTGTAATTTACAAAGAAATGGATGGATTGGCATATTCAAATTTAACTCCTTGGGTGGTTTCCTGCCAATTGAAACACATCCTGTGATAGCCTTGTGCACATTAAAAGGAAGAGAGACCACTTACATCTGGCGACGGGTCCACTTGGGGGAGGAATAAAGCACCTCTGCCAACTGCTGCAATACTGTTGCCACAAAGTTGGGCTGGTTGCGGAAGCGGCAGAGCTGAAGGGCAATGAGCTTGGTGGCGGTTTGGCGCACCGTGAACACGCGGTCTTTGAGCAGGGCAAGGCCAATGGGGATGATGAAGTCCAGGACTTCCTGGCAGGGGTAGAGCTCTGCTACATTCTGGAGCTGACTGGGAACACACACACAGCACAATGTTTCTTCTTCTTTCTAACCCAGGCAATAACTTTGTTATCAATTATTTTACTGAGGATGTTTAGGCCAATATAGCAGGCTTCCATTGTGGGAACACTAGGTTGCTTAAAGGAAGTAAAAATAGCACTAGGAAGGGAATTGTAGAGGTATTCCGCCTAATCAATTCTGGATATAAGAGCTGGAATGTCTAAAAAAAAAAAAGATGAACGAAAAATAATTGAAGCTTTTGAAATGTGGACATGGAGAAAGCTACTCAGAGCATGTGTGATGGACAGATAAAAAAGACAAATATTTCAATCTTAAATGAAATTAATTTTATTAGATGCCTAGAATGCCAAATATGTAAATACTTTGGATACATAATGAGAGCAAATTATTTAGAAATGCAATGAACTGGCTAGGAGTCAAGAAAGCTACTTGAAGATCATTAGGTAAGCTGCGAGTTATGGTCACCAAAAGTCAAACTTGACTTGAAGGATGCTAACAACAACACTAATGCATTTACTCAAATACTTAATTCATGCATCATCTCCTTTATTAAACTTCCAAATAACCTATTTCCTTTTTCCTCAACTTTTTTTCCGAAATTATCTGTAAATGCTAATGAAATACAGCATAAACTATTTAATTGAACTGGCTATAATTTACTATAATTCAACCCTTCCCTCTCTCTTAAGTGTTGATAACAAAATGTTCTAGAAAAATGTTCCCTAGAAGTGTGAAGAATTGATAATCATCTTTACCTACTATAATTCAATTGAAAATTCTGATCCCTTGGAACGCTTCACGATTTTGCGTGTCATCCTTGCGCAGGGGCCATGCTAATCTTCTCTGTATCGTTCCAATTTTAGTATATGTACCGCCGAACTTTGAACTATTTTTTTCTCAAGATTTAAAGTTTGTCCTCAATCCTATTGTGAAGAGTCACAAATAGAACACTAAACAAATTAACAGGATTACAGTACCTAATATTTTTGGTGATCATAACTCTCAGCTTATCTAATGATCTTCAGGTAGCTTTCTTGACTCCTAGCCAGTTGTTCATTGCATTTCTAAATAATTTGCTCTCATTATGTATCCAAAGTATTTACATATTTGGCATTCTAGGCATCTAATAAAATTAATTTCATTTAAGATTGAAATATTTGTCTTTTTTTATCTGTCCATGACACATGCTCCGAGTAGCTTTCTCTATTATTCTTACAAAATGATATATAATATGTGCTAATAGGATATATTGGATGAGGGAATGGCAGCTGAAATTTGCTACTGTAGTTATTTAAACAAGAGTTGCCCACTACACTTACTGTGCCAGAGCCATGCGGTATCTCCAGTTATTGCGGTTCTCCATCCTGAGGAAGATGGAGAGGTGAGTGAGGACGGTATGTCTGTCTTCTGGAGACAGGGCCCTGAGGAAATGGTGCAGGTGGCCCAGGAGGGCACTGCGCACCTCATCCAGGTCGTTCAGGAACACCCAGAACGCCGGCATGAGGTCGGTTGAGGCTAGGGCAGGGCCCAGGATCACAGCTAGATGGTGGATGGATGCAGCGAGGGACCGTCGCACTCGCCATTGGACATCTTCCACTAGGGTTAGCCAGGTCACACGTAGACAGGCCCAACCCTCTTGCCGCAGGGTGAGCGCCACAGCTGGCAGGCCATAGGCACATTGGCCTGACAAACCTCCGGCCTCTCCTGCCATGCTGATATAGTGCTCCAGGAGTTGGCGAGGCACTACACCCTGCATCAGGGGCTTGTTTATACTCTTGCAGAATGCAACAACAAACTTTGTATAAGTTGCTATATAAGTGTATCAAAATCTAAAATAAGAACTAAAAATGCAATTAATCAATTTACAATCATGGACAAAACTTGAGAAAGTTTTACCTTTTACCATGTATATTGGGATTCTGACAATATCTCTTAAAGATACACATTCACACATCTTTATTGAGGAGACACGGAATAACCAAGTGTGAACAAAATTGCATCTGTCTCCTTCAAAAAACTGTTGACATCAAAGACTTTCCACTTCCTTAAGTTTTTCCCCTGAGTGTACTTTGAAAAGGTTCATAACCTTTTTAAGAGTTTTGTTCCTCTACAGCTCCTATATAGAAGACTGAAAATCATTTAATTATTAAAATTCATCTTAGCACTGGTTTTGCTATTTTAACATGAGTCTTATTATTAATTTATGTGCTAGCATTATCCTACTTGGTTATTGTAACAACAGCCAATGTCTGGAGACACATCCCATGTATAGATCCAATTGTGCTGACTTCCTAGCAGCAACTAGAGGATTCAGTGGGGGTAGAATAAACTCACCTGAGTGGGACTTCTACCCAGGTCCCCATCATTGATAATTTTGCCGAGCTCCTCGAAGTAAGGCAGCAGCTTGTCGCTCAACTCTACTGGGTTCATGTGATGGTAACCAATGGTGGGGGTGAGGGAGAAGTCCTCCAACCTGGTGATCAGCTCCATGGCCTCCCTCACCTCCCGCGGAGAGGATTTTCTCATGGGCCTGACTATGCACACGTTGGGCTTCCCGCCCACCAGCATGGACGGGTCTACCTCTGGCAAGGGCTCCCTCCAGTACTGGAATGTGTTGAAGGCCTCATCTGGCAGTTGGTTCATGTTGGAAGACTGCTGGGCTTGGGTGACCTCCGCACAGAGCTCCTGAAGTTTCTGGAGCTCCATGAGAGAGTGGTCTCCTTCCTCAGAAGGTGGCAGTGGGGGTGGGCTGAAGCTCAGGGGATCAACAAATGTGGAAATGAAAGGCCCCAAAGATTGGTAGGCTGCAGACTTAACCTGAAGACAAAAATTTGACTTTTTACAATAAAATACCAATTTAGATTTTGTTAAAAGGCAACAAACCAACCTAGTAAGTGCATTGTGGGGTGACAGGAATGGTACTCACATAGTCTGTGTCTGAGAGCAGCTCCAGGAAGAGTGGAGCTAGAGTATGATGACGTGTGGAGAGCTGGCACACCCACGAGATCTCCATGAAGTCTTCGGCACAACAGCGGCGGATCTCCCATTCATTGTCTCTGCAGAGCTCTAGGAACTTTGGAAGCTGCAATGAATCTGTTTAGAATATTTCCAGCGGAGAGAGAAGGATAACTCACCAGATGGGACTCAACCAGCGCAGTACCCATCACATTGCACATTTCAGCCATCTTGATTGCACAGGCTTTGCGCATGGCAGGCGAGGGGTGGCTGCAGAGACGGAGGAATTGTGACAGAAAGAACTTCTCTGTCAAATCTGGCCCAACTAACGAGGCAACCTTGCACAACAACTAGAGACACAGTAATGTCAGTCAGCGCAACACAGATAGGTTTAGAATAGTTAAAAGGCAAAGATTTCAAGCTATCCTTGTGCCCAGATGGCTCCCTTTCAACTAGTGTCAATTTCATATTATGTATTATATTATCTACCAAATAAATGGTTATCACAATATAAGCAAGTTTTTTTTTAATAGGAATTATATCTGAAGCTCAAATTGTGAACACAACTCCTGATTGCCCATGGGTAAATATTTATCACCCACCTCTATGTAAGTGGATGGCACTATTCAATGAGATTGCTTCTTTAAAATAAAAGATCATTTCTAGAATCATATTACATTTATAACTAGAATACCTTGTTGGTTCAGGATCCATGAATTTATTCAATGGACTTAAATATTGTTACCCCAAAATTAGATAATACAGAAATTGACTTTTTTGTGAAACTAGCAGATTAAGGTCGGTGACAAAGCCATAAATATCTGTAAAACTCTCTTTGCATATGCTGAGAGTTCACAGAAAACACAAAAAAAAAAACTGATCAGCTAAATCAACAGTCCCAAAATATGAATCATGACAGCAGTCAGTGGAAAGCTAGCTGTTACTTTGCCCCAGAGTGTGGCTGAAGAATGGCTGAGATCTCATTCAACACCCAACTTGGTGTCAATCAATAAAACGGCCATTAACTTGGTTTTAAAATGAGATAATTATTCTGCATATAAAAACCGGGGAAACAATATACCTTCAGACTAAGAGAAGAATTGAGACAGTAAGTTCCTCTCCTACTAACCATTATAGCGTGGAAATGAAATTAAATCCAAACAAGGTAATTAAGAGTTTGATGAAATAATTAACTTTTTGATTGCAAAGGAATACTAAGATGTTGAAAATTTTTAAATTGTAGATACAACAAGTTTTGTTGTATACAACTTTGAACCAAGTCTTGTCCTCCCCACACCAAGTTTCCATCTTTACTTTATTAATCACACAAACCATAGGCTTTATTAACTACAAATAGTTACAAAACACTCCATATCTGCCAAAACAGTCAAGTTCTAAGATCCAATTGGGGAAGGGAAATAATTAGGTTGAAAATTGATCAATACCTTCTCTGCAATGTACACTGATGCGAGCCACACAATTTACAAGGGGGTCGGTGGAAAGCTGGTTACACCGTTTGGTTTTCGACCACTACGACACAGGTTCGATTCCCGCATTGGACACTTTTTTCCCGATTTTATAAAAAAAATGCTCCAATGGCCCCCGATTCTTGCAAAAGTCCAACCCCACCAGCGTAGATATGTGTAGACATGTGGTGCACTTACAGTAAAAGCAGTCATTAACCTCTACCCACCATGATTATCATGGCCTGGCCACGTGTACTAGGGATAAGCAAAAAAAAAAACACAATTTACAAGTGTCCAAGAAGCAGCTACTACCTACTATAGCTCCCAGTTATAATATTCTATAGATATAATCAGTATTTTGTGATCTAAGTGTGCTGCTGAGAGAGATGTATTATTCAATATTAATATATTGTGAAAGACTGAAATAGATGGCAACCTCTCTATTGTGCTAATGCCAAGTGGTATAATGAGACTTTAATAAAGTATATGAAAAATAGTGAAATTGTACTGGACCAGATTAAGACATCTCTTTATTTTGCCAACTCTGCAATTATTTAAAAAAAATCAAAGATAAGTTGATATTTGATCCGACAGATTGTGAAAGCCATCAACAACAGTTGCACCATCAGAAGATACTTTTCTTAAAATGTATTAACCTGATTCCAAGTACAATTTCACTTTTTTTTTTGTTTCACTATGGTTTGGCATTCTCACACACTTAATGACAAATACCCATTCCTTGATTTTTTTTTACCAAGTCTAAAAGACCAGTTTTTTTGGTCATTAAGGTACAGCCTGTACAACGCTGATGAGGGCCAAAAGATTGAAATTGTGTATTTGAAGTTGGCTTGATTAATCAAGAAAAGGTATATTGGATAAACCGTTTGGTTTTCGACCACTACGACCCAGGTTCGATTCCCACATTAGACACTTTTTCTGTTAAAAAAAAAATGCTCCAATGGCTCCCCCGATTCTTGCAAAAGTCCAACCCCACCAGCGAGTGCAAGTAATCAAACGGGGCTCTGGCACATTTGTAAGTGCAAAGTCGAACTGCTTTTCACATGTGTAGACATGTGGGGCGCTTACAGTAAAAGCAGTCACTAACTACCCACCATGATTATCATGGCCTGTACCCCGTGTACTAGGAATAAGCAAAAAAAAAAGGTATATGGGCATATCTAGAATAATGATAAAAATCAACTATTAGGTGGTATTTATTGTGACATATCAGCAACTTTTAGTTGCACAATCAGGATGAGATGGCTTTATTACTGTACAACCTCATCCTACTAGGGATAAGCACAACTGGCACAGATTCTAAAGAAAGGTTCAGGTGGGAGGCGAGCACAGAGAGAGAAATACCTTGTAGCTGAGGAGTCCTTAGCCCCTGAGGGTGTTCATCAAAGCTGGCTGTGATACGATTGGGTCGCAACACATCATCAGCCACTTTGACGATCATGCTCGGGAGCACTGTCGCGTAGGGAAGACATCAGGAAAGGGGCCTCACTCATCAAAGATGGCTGTGATATGATTGCACGGCATGACATGTCACCGCCACTTTGTGAGTGAGGACCCTCCTGGCTCTGGTGGTCGGGGCGGACGACAGCGTTGATGAGGATAGGAGCAGCGGGCTCATCAAAAGTGGCTGTGATATGGCAAGCATAAAACGCATCTCACAGCCCCTTTGACGGCCCGCCACACTCTACTGCCAAGACCGTAGGTCGCCGGACTCCCCGTCAAAGACAAGATAGTGAGATGAAGGGGTCGGCCACACATCTCACTACCCATGTCTTTCACGGCGAGGTCTCCAGCATCAACCCAGTTGGAAACCAACCAAGTTACACAGCAGAAGTAGCAAATATATACAAGAATTGGCAACAGAAGCAAAAAAAAAAAAAGGCCGAGACTTACCAGAAGAGCTTCGAGGCGCCTGTCCTCTTCTATGGTCTCCTCCCCAGCCTGCATGGCCACCATGGGACAGAGCCACTCCTCCAACATGGCTGAGGCAATAAGTTAGCCATAGGTGACAGAGAACAAACACCAACTAGACTTACTCTTGTGCACCAGCCCTTGTTCCAACAGCAGGAGGAATGCATTGTGACTAGACTTCCTCACCTACACAGCACAAAGTCAACTATGTAATAAGCAACCATTACTCCATTTAATCCCTAACAAGTAATTTACATGCAAAGCTTCAGTACCAGCAATGCTACCATTACTAGTCTTGTAGGATGGTAGCAATATAACAACCTATCTTGCCACTCCATATCTGAAATCCAAATTGGCATCTAAATCTGTATTATGAAGTAGCACCAGTCCCCTCAGCACCATTCAAGAAAAAAGAATGCTAGCCCTAGTATTATGGTAAAACACAGATAGATAGGTAGGTAGGTAGGTAGGTAGGTGGTAGAAATAGTTACCGAGGGCAGGTCGTCCGAGAAGACATTAACCAGGAGTGGGATGAGGTGCTGGCGTATCAAGGGCCCCAGAATGTTCTCCCGCTGGTGGCAGAAGACAGCCACGTGGGGGATTTGGTTGATGAGCTCTACCCTCACATTGGTCTCTGCCCACACACTGCAGCTGAGGCAAGAGCCCCTCTAATGTAAACTATGATAAGATAAAATATCTGTTTACATTGGCAGACCTCCTCCGTGGATGCTCTTGCCCACTACACTTGCACGGTGGGAATTGTTAAAAAGTATCTCAATATTGGCATATCTCCCGCTACAATATCCTTAGCTTTACCTATTTAGTAATAGATTTTTTGATAACTAAATAATCAGGTGCTAGCCTATTTCATTTTAATTGAGCTAGAGAAAAGAGAAGTCAAACCTATCCAAATCAAGCACACAAATTTCCAAACAAAAATGTAATATCACAGAGAAGCTGTTGAAACTATTATTACAGAAATTATCATGTGAAAGATGCAGGACAGAGCAAAGTCGCATATAATTATAACTACATTTTAAAAACAAGATTATAATGACACAATTTGCTTTATATTTACAACAAAAGTTTTCAAGAAAGCTTCGGATCATCATCCTGTAACAAGATGCCTCAAGTATCCACTGGGAATAAAGAAAACCAAACGATATGTAAATATATCTATTGAAATCCAAAAATAGCAAATCTTAAATCTAGTTGATCGTTCAATTTAATCATATTGTAGTTAGAGTGAAAGATGCCAAATAGCAGTAAGATATGCAGGAAATAACTCAATCAAGATGCATCCAGGTATTACTGTATATTCTTTAGAGAATGCAGGACAACATCCGAATAAAAGTGCGACAAGATCTGGGAGGGGAACCTATCAAGAAAGCAGAAAAACTAATCAGGTGGAAATATATTTCAATTATTCTTCTTTCTTATCTCCACTCAATCACACTAAGATATCAAGCTTCTAAAGCTTGAGACTTTTGATGATATTTGCCGGGGAAGAGTAGAGTTCATCAATGGATGAGTCAATACAGTCAATAATGTCTTGGGGTTGCAGGCTGAGAATTATATCAATTATTGTAAAATATTGTAAATATCATTTGCCAGGATACTCCAAAAGTTGCTAAGAAAACATTGGGCATACGTGAACATCAAAAAGAGTGATACTGTTGAGAGGTGCCAGATGGCAGTGGAGATGAAAGTAACCAATGGCAATCAAATACCATATATGCATATGTGTAGCCATCTTCTATTTGATAATAAACTGCCTTAATTCTAAATGCCATTTGCTAGTGATGTTACTCAGTGACACCAAGCTTTGTTTCAGTGTTTGTGGAACTCCAACCTATTGTGTCAACTGCTTCTTTTTATGTAGAAATAACATCATGGCACCCACAGATGGTCCAAAGTTTAACAAAACAATTGTTTCAAACTGCTCAGTGAGGAAACAGCCAAGGTTCCAGGAGGTTGGGGTGGGGAAGGAACAAGGTCAGCGTGCCGACGGCAGCCAACCTAACGACGCTTTATTATTATTTGTTGGGGGGGGGGGGGGGGGGGGGGGGGGGGGGGGTGACGTGGCCGTGACGTAATGTGACCGTTTCCTGTTGGAGAGAGAGAGATCGGCAAGGTCACGTCACACCACAGCTGAAGGAGGAAACAAATGCCGACCTTCCCCCGCCCTTCTTTCTACCGGTACACGCGCGTGTGTATTCCCTCCGCCGCTTTTTTTTTTATACATATATATTATTAAACAACTGATCCCTCCCTCCCCAACCAAAGGATTGGAGGTGAGGGGGGAACAATACTTGTAGCGGAACCCCCCCCCCCTCCCCTCTCGCAGCTGGGCGAGCACGCGACAGCTGCACGTTCTGGGTTCCCCAAATTTAGAACACACGTGCCACCACCATTCCTGGAAGCCGAAACTGTCACAATGTTCCTAAGGAAAGGAACAGTGGGATTGAATGAAGGAAAACTGCTATTTCAATGAGAACAATTATTTTCCCTAAAAATTTTGAAATTAAAAAGAAACCTATGTCACTGTAGCACAAGTTAGTACATTTTCCCAACTAAAATACCTAATAAACGGTCATTACATTACATAAAAAGCATCCCAATGTTTTACGAGCGTTACAGAGTTCAAGTGTACCTGGATCGTGGATAAGGCGGCCCATGACGGCCATCACACTGTTGACATCGTCGAGGTTGGGCCACACCGCCTTCAGTGTCTCCAGGATGTTGCGGGCCTCCTGCTGCCTGAAACAATCACCTTATTGCCTCAACCTTTCCTGGCGATCCACAAGCTGGCATATTGTATAAAAGTCCAGAGAGCAGTGAGAATTCGAGGTATGTTTCCGACTAATTTAGGATACTTTATACAAATCCATACAAGGATAATTAGTTGGCCTTTATTGGCATAACTTTGTGTAAAGCCATCCAGCAGGGCATAAATGAGCGAGGTCGACGGCACGACAAGATTGCCGCCACCGCCGGTTGTGCAAGGAGCCAACCGTGGTGACGTTTACAAACAATGGAGGACGGAGGTGAACGCACCACCGAGCCGCAAATAGCACCCAACAGCACCCACCGCACGTGTCGTCCGCCCATCCCTTCTTTCTTGTTGGGCGGGAAGAGCCGAGCGATACATTCGTGTTATTTAACTTGGGAGAGTGTTAACTTGATTGCTTTTCACTAATGACGATGAAATAATTCGAGAGAGAAAGTAGCTCTCTTGTTCCCACAACCTGAAAGATGTAAAATAAATTTAAAAAAATAGTTGGCAAAACCTACAATGAGACGAAAACTAATAGGTGTTGGTCTACACACTTTCGTTATGGACAAGACGACAGAGAATCAAAAGTGTTTTTTTTTTTAATACCACAGTTATGACAACATACTCAGCAGCGTCATTCTAAGGCAATCATCCTCCTACAAGAGTAGCGAAAAGGAGGAAGAAACCCGAAGGAGGAAAGGAACGGATGGCGCCAAGGTCCGTGGAGAGGGAGAAGGAATTTGCCCAAGAATGCGGTGGTGAGTGACATCGTGGGATAAGGGGGGCGGGCCCCCCTGATGGTGGGTGCTGAAGAAAATATCACAGGATGATGACATTTGCCCAAGACAAACTGCGAGCTATACCACCACCACCGCTGCCTGCCATCTGGCCTTGAGCGGGAGCTCGGGTTTCACGCCGCAAGAATGTTTGGAGCGGGAGGGAGGGACAACATGGCGGCCGTCGCCCAGCGAACGACGCCACACTTCGAATACCAAGCTTCCAAAAAAAAAAAACTTGGATCGATTAACCTAAAACATTTATATATATATTTTTTTTAATGATAGGATAATTGTTTTTTAAAAAAAATGGGAAGTCGACGTAACAAAAGGGCAAAGAACGGACGGACGCTGGCAAGATGGTCCGTCCGCTTAGAGAAGTTATTCCCACGTGCGTATTGCGGGGTATACAAGGAAGTTAATTTATCACCACAGTGCCGCCACAATTGCCTACCGTTGTGGAGTAGCAAGGCGGAAAAACGCTCCGTGACGGGATGTGCGCACGCACCAACGACCGCTTCCTCACAACTCGGCAAGTTTTTTTCGTCTATCCGCTATAGCTACCCGCCAAAATCGAAATTAAACAAAATTTTAATATGGGCTACAGTTCGTTTCCTTAGCAAGTCGGTTTCAAAAAATTGATTATCTATATGAGTGCGAGGCTGGTTGCAAAAAAAAAAAAGGGGGGGGGGGGGAGAAAACATTTTTAAGCCAGACATTTCAATGATCATGGAAAAACAGTTAAAATAATCAGATTCCTCTTATGTACCGCTGAGAAAGGCCATAATACCAATGATAATATGAAAAAGTGGAAAGGATAATATAAAATAGCGCCTCCCTTCTCATTTTGAAATCAAGGAATGAGTAAAGTTTAACATTTGTTGTACAGATTATATCTCTCCGTCAATATGAAAAAATCATAATTGAGTTGTCAGAATCCACCCAAATGGGAGCAAGTCACGTGGTAGATTATTTCACCACACCTCAAATAGCTGCTCAGAGAACGGAAACCTATAAAAAGATAATTACGGTGTGCATTCAACATGACCAGAATCATCAAGCCCTCCTCTTATATACTCTCTGAAAATCATTATCACTTCACTTTGAACCGACACATCGCATAAACACTGAAAGACCACAAGTGACTAAAGTATGGGGGGAAGGGAAGTTGTGTTACGGTTATATATACACGCTACATCGCGGGGTATATGGTTTTTTAAAATATAAAAATCATTTCAAAAAAAAAAAAAAGTTCAAACCCGGTTCACACAATGCTGAATTTACTCAGTTTACCTTTAATCACTACAATCAACCACGGTTTTACTGTAAGAGCGAAAAATGGCTGAATTCAACACCTACTAGGGTCGACGACCGGGGTAGTTTTAAATGATTGTAACATAAAGTCGAAATAATTAGCGTTATAAACGATGTGCATTGTGTGGGCAACAGGACATGTATCCACCATACATCACAGGGGTAGGATTTGAACGCGGGCCAAGAGAGAGAGGGGGAGGGAGAGGGCCACACGTGGTGTGGCGGCGGTAAGTTTCCCAGAATCCCCTCGAGCCTTATCTCTTCTCTCTGTTCTGCCGCCACTGAGCTTATCTGGCGAAGGGACCGAAGGTCCGTTGGCCTCCGAGAACCACCACCACACCACGTCAATACCACTCACTCACCAGATAAGCACATCTCGCCGTTTTTATTCAGTCTACTCTTAAAATAACTTATAAAACTATTGGTAAGTAAGCCCTCGAAATTCTAAAATGTGAATTACAGAAAAAAATGTTAAGTGTTTAACGTTGTTTTTTGTTGAATCCTAAATTTGTTTTAGTCCGTTTTATGATTTTCGGTGAAAATATATAATCATCCCCGCCAGTAGAGCTAGAAAAAAAACTGGAGTAAAAAAAAGAGGGGCTTAAAAGAACATCCTGAATGTGTACCAGTGGTTCCGCCGAAACGATCGATAGATGGCGCAGCGATCAATGCGGGAACCTCTTTTATAAAACCTTGATATAGGATAGCGAGAGACTTCAAATTGCGTTTGGTAAAAGTCAATTGAAAAAAGGGGGGTAAAAACTCGCATATTTAAAACAATTCTGGTTACACAAAAGATCCCAATGAACTTTTTTCCCTCACTAAGCGCGACACAATTTATACCACTACCGCCATAGTAAAAAAGCAAATTTAACGGCGTACAGAAGGGTGTGACCGACCTAACTAGAACAAAAACATACAATCCGGGTTACAGTAAGGGGGCAGAAGGGAGTAGCGTGAAAGAGCGGAGAGAATCCGGCGTGTGGGGGTTGGCAACCTTGGGAAGGGAGGGCCAAATTTCCGGCGGTGGAGTTCCGAGAAAGTGCGCGGTGGAATGCCGTCGTAAATCTGAGAGGCCGGCGGCAGCGGCCAGCTCGCTGTGCCAATGGAGGTGAACGACCAACTCGCGCGACCGTTGCTTGGAGGATTTTATAAATGCCTATTTATTGCTCTGGTATTGACTACACTACACCGCCCTTTAAAAAAAAAAAACATGGGGTTATTTTGCTACCAAATGCCTGGAACCATCGCAGAGGCGATATCGTAGCCAACGAGAACCTTCGAGAAAGCGATCAGCGCTAACTGCAACTTCGCGCCATTTCTAAGTTAGCCAAAGGATATATATTTTTTGAGAGAGAATGATCAAAATGAAATCCTATTTTTGTTCAAATACACATCATATTTATTGTGTTGGCTTGTTACTTCAGATTCCATGATGGAGAACAGTGACAACGGATACAATGGCTGGCTGATCAGCAGCTTCACGTCTCGATATCTATAATGCAGGAGAGAGAATTTGTATTTTCACCCCATTGTTTCGGGGAAAGCCATATCGTTTTTCCATCCTTATTATAACTTTTATGTTAACTTTAATATAGGTTCATAAATATGTCGCAAATAACAACACAAGGAAGAGAATAAAACATTTTACCCTTCAAGAAATTACATATAGGGTTATACAAGTTTAAAATGAATGAGAATCGAGTAGGAAGAGAAGATGTTGAAAATGTAGGATGATCGAGTAACAACAGGCTGTTCCTTTCTCCCAATACACAGTACTCGGTATGGGGCGAAACACATATAAGATCCAATAAGATGAAAGGCAAACAAAAACCAACCCGATCAAGTACCAACAAACACACAAAAAACATAAATACATATTTATATGTCAGAGGCCTTGAGATACTTGCTGCTGCAACAAACAACCGGGTGGCATTCCATGTCAACAACAATGTCTTCAGTTGTCCACAAAGTAGCTACAAACCATCTTGACATTCCTATATTGCCCGTAACACTTAAAACAATTAGTATTTTACAACATCAGGTCAGTATATCGACTCTTCCAAAGTATGTAATTACTAAGAAGAGAAGAAAAATGTGGAAAGAAAGCTGCAAGCCCCGTTTGAAATCGTACGTTAAATCGGGATATACGCTCGCCAATATAAGTGGAAATTTTCGATTGTGCAAAATTGGATAGTGTATAGTGTGAAATTTTCGATCTTGCAAAATTCGATATTTGAAGGACAGTCAAAATGAGGAAAAGAGCCAATACATTCTTCTTTCCAAATATTATGAGCTGGGCACCCAATAAAGTTACGTTTGAAAAGTAGGTTAAGCCCAACAATTGGAAGATGATATGTGAAGGATGGGGGACAGCAGCAGCCACATGGAGGGAGCAGAGCGTACAATACGGAAGTATTCGTTAGCGCGCAGATCGAAGCGGTAGCAGGCAGGGGAGGGAGGAGGCACATTGATCGTCGTACCGCGGGGGGAGAGAGAGAAGACGGACTTCAATATTAAAGCTGCTCCCTTTCCACTCTCTCCTGGCGGTGGACAACCTTCGAATCGATTAATGCTACCGTCCTTTTGGATGCTGGCACGCCATCGTTAAAGGAAGAAACGAAAATTGCATTTGAACCATGCACACAGAATGCAACAATTTTTCCTCACCTCTAATATGAGCTGGAGTGTTCAAATTCCCATAATTTGTGTGTGGAAGGGGGGAAAAGGCATAAAAAGGGGGAAGATGTCACACTTCAGAGATCATTTAAAAAAAGGCATCTAAAGACGTATATTTAGGGATAGGCTTACTTACAACAAACGGGATGGAAAGAAGGATCGATAACACGGGGATGATGGCAACCCCCCCCCCCCCCTCACACACAACCAACTTCTAGCCGCAGTCTCAAGAGATAAGTTAGGAGCGACGTCAGAACAGTTTTGCAAGACCCATCACCGCCGCCTCTTTGATAAAAAAAAATTAAAAGTAGAGAGAGAGAGAAGGCGATAAGGGTTGAAGGCCACCCGACCTCCCACGTGGCCAGCAGCAGGCTTCCTTTCAAAAGTACCGACTTCCAAGTATAGAATAAAATATACTCCCGACATCTATCCACTGATATTTTACACATGGCAAATGTCTCCATCGGCGCAGGCCATTAATCTTCCTTCCACTTTCCAATCGACATTTAACTACACAAGAAGCTGTTAAAATAATCTCCCCCGATGCTGGATGGGGAGGCGAAAGTTCCCCAATTAGTATGAAGCATTTGGCGGCAGAGGAAAAGAAGATGAAGGATATATGAACGAAAGGACCAGGTTTTCTACGAAAGAGGTATTTAATAACTAGGAACTTTTTTTTCCCTTTTGAATTACTGAATTGCCATTCCCGTTAGAATTAGTTCCACAGAGAATCGCTTCCGACGAAGCATTTTTCATCTTGGGCGGACGCTTGTTGATGAGATCGACCTTTTTGACGGGTAGTAGGAATGTGGCATTGGGAGAAAGTAGAGGACCATCGTGGATAAACGTAGAGCACTTTCACAAGTTTTACCTGTTCTTCAAATACACTCAGCGAGGAATATAAAGCACAAGGGATAATTCATTTAAGACATAATTTCAAACTGCGTTCAAATTTTCAGATGACAAAACCCTGTTCTATTAAAACTACGATATTTTTTTCAAATGCACCTTAACTTAACCATTATCCTCTAATGCACTCTCTCTCTTTTTAAATGTTTTTTAATTTTATAAATATTTATTAACGAGAGCACAATTTAGAACTAACCTAAAATATTATACAAAGAGCATATAATTTTTTAAACTGATTAGGAATATATATGGAGTAAAAAATGGTATTTTTTTTTTACAGGAGCCTTTCATCATGTTGTGTAAATGTATTGTGGTACGGGGATTACACCATGTAGACAAGAGGTTGGCTGGCATCGAATGAATGTCGCCGTTGTGCTCGACAAGTGGCCACTTGGTCGACATGACGCTACCAGTCGGGCGTTACAACCCTCTAGAAGAAGAAGAGCACCACCACCACCACGGTGGAGAGATGGGAAAAGAACAACAAAAATCGGTCGATCGAAAGCGGGCGGGAGGATCGATGGGAGGACCCCCCCCGCAAGACTTGAGTTACAACTTGACGGCCATTCGAGGGGAAACGGTCGTCACACCGTTGGTTGCGCAACAACCACGCCGTTTTATTCACCTCCACACATCGCAACCGGACATCGACCGGTCGACACGGTAGCACAAAATACAATCCCGAATTCACATTTCTCTTCCATCCACAATGCTGGACGGGTGACGCCCCCTTCCCCCCTCCCACAAGCGCGCCAAAAATTACGCTGAGCGTCATCACGTGACCCCAGCCTACCACACGAGGGAGGTTAAAACCAAAATCCCATTCATAACCGCCCCATTTCTTTTTTTTAATCGCATT